ATGGTTTTTCCAGTGGTCATGTATGGCTGTGAGAGTTGGATTATAAAGAAAGCTGAGCACCGAAGAATTGATCCTTTTGAACTGTGGTGTTAGAGAAGACTCTTGAGAGTCCCTTGGACTGCCAGGAGATCCAACCAGTCCATCCTAAAGGAAATCAGTCCAGAATATTCACTGGAAGGGCTGATGCGGAAGCTGAAACTCCAATACTTTAGCCACCTCATGCAAAGAACTGACTCACCTGATCTGGGAAAGATTGAAGGTGGAAGGAGAAGGGGATGACAGAGGATGAGATGGTTGGCTGGCATCACTGACTCGATGGACAGGAGTTTGAGTAAACTCCGGGAGTTGGTGATGGACAGGGAGGGCTGGTGTGCTGCAGTTCATGGGGTCACAAAGAGTCGGACCCGACTGAGTGACTGAACTGAACTGAAAAGGTAAAGGCCTTTTAAAAAAATAAGAATAATAACCACAATATCAATAACATCTATAAAATATCTATAAAAATAATATTTCTTAATAGCATCAAAAATACCCAATTAGTTTTCAGATTTCCCCAACTGACTCACACAGTTTTATTTTATAGTTCTTTGAATCAAGATATAAATGTGTCATTTATTTATGTCTGTTTCAATCTGTTTCCCTTTTTTCATTCTTTAATTCTTTTTCTTCTTTCTTTGTTAAAGAAACTGATTTTCATCTTTTTTTTCATCTTATAAAGTATTCCATATTCTACATTTTGCTGACTGTATATGTAGTGTCACTTATTGTGTTCCTCTGACCCCTGTATTTCCTGTAAAATTTTAGTTAACCTAAAGGTGTAATTAGATTCAGACTTGAGTTTTTTATAGCACTAATTTATAGATGGGGTTTTCTGTTGATTCGTTGGTCAAGAACTCAGCTGCCAGTGGAAAAGACACAGGTTCGATCCCTGGATCAGGAAGATCCCTTGGAGAAGAAAGTGGCAACCCACTTAAGTATTCTTGCCTGGAGAATTCCATGGATAGAGAAACCTGGAGAGCTACAGTCCATGGGGTCTCAAAAGAGTGGAACACAATTTAATGACTAAAAATAACAGACTTTGTAGATAATGGCATATTCCCTGTTCTATCTAATCGGGAGATATAACATCCTAGTTTTTTTGGTTTTTATGATACTAAGGTTGATCAGTGGATTCAGATATTATCAGCCTGATCCACCCTTTATAAGTTTTCCTGCCAGCTTTCACCTAATAATTTTAGCAATGCATATTTCAGTAGGGTTTGTAAAATGGTGCTATGTTATGTCTAACATTTATTTTTCATTTATTAGCAGTATGCTTCTATAAAGAACTTTCCCTCACCAACTGCTTTGTTATACTGAGGTTCAGTTTGTATAAGAAAGGCAGGATAAGTGCTTGCTTCTTTTCCCTTGTTTACTGATTTTGGGGATTATGTGTTTGTTCTCTATTCTCCAGTGTATTCTTGTTTTATCATTATGAGCCTAGATTTAGACATATTTGACGTGTTTGAATCCAGTATAGTTGTTCTTCTTGTTGATGCTCAAAATGTCTTTGTGATGATGCTTATTAGCCAGTAGGAGCCTCTTCAAGTGGGCTCCTGAGACCTTTTGATGTGATGCTGTAGTCTGATAGTTCTTTTGGTTTCAGCATTTTCTTATTCTTAAAATTATCCTGATTTAAGCTACTTAAAAGTAACTTGTGCTTTTTAGAAGCTTAGAATAATGAAGACTCTCTTGGAAAAGATCACTGTTTTTTATAATCAGTGAAGAATTAGCATTCCACTGTGGTCAGTCCAGAAATTTCTTTATTCTAAGTCACTTTCTTATACATAGAGAGGCCACCCTATAATAAAGAATTTTAAGAAACCTAGCTTAACTTGAATTAACTGTTAAATTTGGCTTATCAGTAACATAATGTGGGTTGGAGAATATAGTTGGGTTTAAAAGTAGAATTTTAGTCTAGTTCTAGAATTTGATTTCTTTCACTTTCTAAGATTCTTTGTTCCTCTTATTTAGAAAAAAATGTTTCTGTTTAATACTTTTGAGCAATGCTTTTCAAAATTTTTCTTAATTTTTTAATTTGAAAAAATTATTGTGCTGAGCAGCACTTTTTTATTACAGGTGCCGGTCGCATAGAGTTATGTTCTGGCTTGTTGGAAGGAGGAACCACACCCAGCATGGGTAAGTGTCCATTTTTTTGGATTTCCTCACAGGAATTTACAGAGCCTAGAGACAATTGATCATTTGTTATTGGGATCTTTTACTCAAGTTACTAACATGTTAACTGTGCCATGGATATTGTATCAGAAATATTTCTAGTTGCAGATAAACCTGTCAGTTGTAGATGTGATCAAATAGGTATTTTTTTCCCTTTAAGTATCAAAAAGTTGAGATTAAATTACTATTAATATTGGTTCATATACTCTGCAGGCATGTCAGGAACCCTGGTTTTCTTACCTTTTCCATTCTGGCATCCTTGGTATCTTGGCTTTTGTCTTCATTTCCCCCCTCCTACTTGTGCTATTGTCATACATTTTGCTTTTGCATATGTTAAAAACTCCACGCTTCATTGTTATTATTTTTGTCTAAAGAGTCAGTTACACTATAAAGAGTAAAAAATATAAGACAGTCATGTATTTACTCACGTGTAATTACCATTTCTGGTGCTCTTTTTTTGTATAGATCTGGTATTTCCGTCTGGTTTCATTTTCTTTCTGCCTGAAGTAATTCTTTTAACATTTTTTGTAGTACAAGTGTGCTAGTAATGAATTCTTTCGGCTTTTGTATATCTGAAAACATCTTTCCCCATTTTTTTAAAGATATTTTTGCTGAGTGTAGAATTCTAGGTTGACAGTTTTATTCTTTCAGGACTTTAGAGATGCTTCTCCAACTGTCTTCTTGCCTATATTGTTTCTGACAGGAAATCTGCTATCATCCAAACCTTTGTTCATTTCTGTGTAATTTGTCTCTTTTCTCTGGTTGCTTTTAAGTTTTTTTCCCTTTATTCTTGCTTTTGAACATTTGATTATAATGTCCCTGAGTGTAGTTTTCTTCATGTTTCTTGGGCATGTGCATTTATACTTTTCATCACATTTGGAAGTTTTTCAACATTTAATGTATTTTCTATAAATCTGCTTCCTTTGTTTTCAAGTGTACTAGTCTTTTCTCTGCAGTGTTTAATTGCTGTTAATCCTAGCTACTATATTTTTCATCTCACATATCATAGTTGTATCACTAGATATTTGAATTTATTGTTATATCTCTTGTCCCTTTTAAACTTTTTTGAACACATAGAATAAGGTTGCTGCTGCTAAGTCGCGTCAGTCATGTCCGACTCTGTGCGACCCCATAGACAGCAGCCTACGAGGCTCCACCATCCCTGGGATTCTCCAGGCAAGAACACTGGAGTGGGTTGCCATTTCCTTTTTCAATGCATGAAAGTAAAAAGTGAAAGTGAAGTCACTCAGTCTTGTCCGACTCTTAGCGACCCCATGGACTGCAGCCCCCCAGGCTCCTCCATCCATGGGATTCTCCAGGCAAGAGTACTGGAGTATAGCATAAGGTTACAACAGCTATTTTAATGCCTTGGCTACTAATTCTAACATATGTACCAGTTTTGATTGGTTTTGTTTAATTGATTTTTACCTCATGATCCATCTTGTTTTCCTACCTGATATTTTTCATTGTGTGTAAGACTTTATGAATTTTGCTTTGTTGGCTACTGGATATTTTTCTATTCCTATGAATATTCCTGAGCAGTTAGGTTACTTGGAAACAGTTTGTTCCTTTTGGGTAATGTTTTTAAAATTTGTTAAGTGAGTCTGGAACAGTGGTCAGTCTAGAGTTCATTATTCCCCACTACTGAAGCAAGATCCTTTCTGCACTCTATCCAGTGCCCCACAAATCTGGAAATTTTCCTGTCTGGCTGATGGGAGCAGGCATTATTCCTGGCCTGGTATGAACAACAGGCAGTATTGCTTCTGATTTTTTTCCGTGGATCTTTCCCTGGCTTTGTGTAGTTTCCTTGCATGCATACATCAGTTGGTACTCAGTTGAATATTAGAAGTGGGGTCAGGTGGGGAGGGTCTCTCCTGACCTCCCTATGCTGTGGCCTGTAAAAACCTCAAGGTAGTAATCTGGGTAATTAGGAGAGCTTACCTCATTTGTTTTCCATCTTTAAGGGATCATTATCCTTTGTTGCAAACCATTGTTTGATATGTTTTGTCTTTTTTTTTTTTTTTTAATAAGTGGAAGGATAAATCCAGTTCCTGTTGCTCTGTCTTGGTCAAAAGCAGAAGTCCCTATATGAATTTTTGACTCCTTAATTTTATTCTGAGATGGATGATAGCATTATTTACTATAAAAGGTTTATGTATGCAATGGCCTTTTAGTGACTCTTCTCACTAAAATAAAGGAGGTCAGTCCCTGGCCATTCTATGAAATAACTAGAACATATCTGTAATTTGAGTGCAGCCTGTTTTTTGCAACAGCAGTCATGCATGATGGACTTGGTGAATGGGCCAAGCCAGCAATAATATGCCCATCACCAGTCATTGCTTGGTGATGGGCATATTGCTGTCCCATACAGAGTTGGGGTTCTTGTAGCCAGGAAAAAGAAGTAAATTCATATTAGGTAAACACTAATGTTGCCTGCCACAGATCTTATACCATTGAGAGTTTCTGAACTAGTCACAGATTGTGTCAGATTTAGTTATTGTGTCAGATTTGGTTCATGAATTGTGTCAGATTTGGTTCATGAATTTCCCAAGCAAGAATACTGGAGTGGGTTGCCATTTCCTACTCCAGTGGATCTTCCTGACCCAGGGATTGTAGCTTCACCTCCTGTGTCTCCTGCATTGCATGTGGATTCTTTACCCACTGAGCCAGCAGGGAAGCCCTCATTTTTGTTCATAGAGCATCTGTTAGCATCACAAATAAGTGCAACATTGCTCCCTTTTACATATCTCTTATTTAAAAAGGCTTTACTAAATATCTTCGTCTAGTAGGAATCATAAACTTTAAAACTATGTAACCATCTGTATAGCAGGTTTTAAATAGAGATGTAATCATTAGGACGGAGAAACCAGATCTCAGGGAATACATTGGCAGAACATAGAGCCTGGTAGTTGTTACACTTTTAAATGTCACATTCCAGTAAAAGAATTTTTGTTAAGCACAACAAAAAATTTTTTAAAAAGCATAACAGTGCTTTTAAAATACAGTAACTTCTGTTTTCTAAATTGCTGTTTTTACCCTTGACTTCTTTATTATGTAAATTTCTACTATAGGTACATTTTTCTTCTCAGTGTCTCCTTTTACCTTTAGATCATCTTTCTGTGGTTTTACTCCATCAACTCTTCCGTTCCTTGTAGAAGTGATAACACCAGAGCAAATGTAAAAGACCAATACAGTAATATTTTATTGACTTCCTTAAGCTTTTAGCTTACATTTGAATTTTAATTAGTCTCTTCCCTATTCTTATAGGTGTCCTTCAAGTAGTGAAGCAGTATGTCCAGATCCCAGTTTTTGTGATGATTCGGCCACGTGGAGGTGATTTTTTATATTCAGATCGTGAAGTTGAGGTGATGAAGGCTGACATTCGTCTTGCCAAGCTTTATGGTGCTGATGGTTTGGTATTTGGGGCATTGACTGAAGATGGACACATTGACAAAGAACTGTGCATGTCCCTTGTGGGTAAGAATTTGTATCAGAGACCAAAAAGCTCCTAATGATGATTGCATTGTATAGTCCCTATACAGAAAAACGCAATCACAAAACTGGCTTTTTATTCGCAACTACAGGCACTTACACTCACCTGTTTTAAACACTAGTTATTTAGATGTTTTAGGTAGACAGTATGTGCTACAGAACCCCCCTGACTCAGCTTCAATAGATTGGATTATGCTACTGTTCCTATAGGGTTTAAGGGGAATTTACCTTGATCTCTTTAATCATAGCAACAAAGACTTTAAAACCTATTATAGTTGGTAAGGATGGGGAGACATAGAGAACACAGAGGCAAAGTATTTATATTACTAGGCCAGAGTATTTCTTAAAGATTTTCAGAAGAGTAAGTGATAGATGTGCTGCTGCTGCTGCTAAGTCACTTCAGTCATGTCCGACTATGTGCGACCCCATAGACGGCAGCCTGCGAGGCTCCCCCATCCCTGGGATTCTTCAGGCAAGAGTACTGGAGTGGGTTGCCATCGCCTTCTCCAGGGCATGAAAGTGAAAAGCGAAAGTGCAGTCGCTCAGTTGTGTCCGACTCTTAGCAACCCCATGGACTGCAGCCTACCAGGCTCCTCCGTCCATGGGATTTTCCAGACAAGAGTACTGGAGTGGGTTGCCATTGCCTTTTCCAAGTGATAGATGTAGTGCTATCCTTATAGTTGCCAGATTGTATAATTTTCATTTGGTGCCTCTAAGGGGTGGATGACAGTTTTTTTAAATGTGAAACTTAGAGAGATTAATGGAAACACAGGACTATTAAATTTGGAAGATTACCATTTTATTATTATTATTTTAGCTCACTGTCTTCACTTAGGAAAAGAAAATGTAAAAAAAGTCCCGTCTAACAGGAGAGTTCTGTAAATAGTATCAGTGATTATCTCTTCATTTATGTTGTTATGTGATTTTCTTTTTATAGCTCTTTGCCGTCCTCTGCCAGTCACTTTCCACCGAGGTGAGTCATTTCCATTTTAGAAGTTCTGTTGAATGGTGTCAGTTTTCTCATTTCACCAAATGCCACAACCTTTTCATGAAACACAATTCTATAGTGTTACCAATTGGTTTTTTTTTAATACCTGTCATGGGGCTAACAGTTGTAAATCTAGAAATGCACAATTTCTGGAAAATATGAAGCCTTAGTTATGAAAAGTTGTTAAAGGCAGAAGGTGCTGGTGGTGGGATATAGTAGAGGGAAAGAGTAGGTGTTGCCTGCAAGTGTGTGTACTTGTCACAGAATTCCAAGCAAGACTCTTGAGATTTATTTTTGTTGCATCGCCTCAGGTCATGTGCAGTCTCAAAAAGAATAAATCACTGTGGCCAATGAAATAAAATGTACTGCTTAACTTAAACCCGGTAAGACCATTCTGGAGGTCGGAGTGAGGTCAGCTTTCCCAAACTTGTGGGCAGAAAGGGGCTGGATTTCCAATGATGAATTGGATAATATTAGGAAGAGGAGAGAAGAAATAGGTGCTAGATAGTCAATGAACAGATGTTCATTGTAGTGCACAAAACTATTTTACATTATTGATAGCTTGTCTACTTGAGAATGATTTCTAAAAAGTGTCTATAATCATTTTATATAAAAATACTTCCTATCTCTAAATCAGGCAGTTACAGTTCCCATACATTTTTGCCTAGCATTGGTAAAATGGAGAAACAAGTGTGAATTTTGCCTTTAAGGCACTGCTATTGCACATGAAAAGAAAAGAAAAATCTTCAGTCAGTTTTTTTTTATTTGATGATATGCCTGAGAAATTATTGAATGTCTTTCTGTCCTTTTGAGTAATTGTCCAAAGATTAGGATGAGAGTGGAATCATCATTTGCATCCATTTATAGAAATGAGATATGAAACATTTGTTATCCTTGTTAATTTGTGAAATGAATGACACCAGAGAACTGTTTTCTTGACTTACTGTTTAGCAATGTTTCTTATAAACTAGCAATAACTAAAAAATGTTAGATCGCTTAAAAGTCAGAACTTTGAAGCTAGCCAAAAACAAAAAGTTTTAAAATATGAAGTCATTTAAATAAATAAATATTTATCTGAAAAATATATAGTTTAAAATTTGATGTGCTAAATAATTCAAAATAAACCCACCATATAGAATATATTTTTCTTTTCTTAAACTAAGAAAATCATTTTAGAGTTCTGTTCTTTTCCTCCTTCAATAAATTTAATGAAAATACTTCCATATTTTTTAATTGTTATATTATCCTGGAGTCCACATTTTTTTCACTTGTGTGTTTAATACAGTAAGTCTCCTACATATGAACCTTCAAGTTGTGAACTTTCAAAGATGGGAACATGCATTTTGCATGTCTAATCGTGGAAGTTAATTCACATGTCTGGCATACATTGTCACCTGCGTGCATCCTCTATAGGTGATTGTGCCTTTGTGTACATTACTGTACAGTACTGTATAGAACACAGTAGTGCAGTATCTTTATTTCAAGCCTAGGATGTCTGGAAGTAAGTGTAAAGGCAGCAGTGATAGGTATTATAAACCTGTTACAGTACAGTTCAATATAGCTGATTACATTAGTTGGATACTGAGACTAACTTTGTTGGATATGGAAACAAATTGGACTTACACTCTTGGAATGGAACTCATTTGTATGTAGGGGCTTGCTATAATATGATAGTCTAATCACTGTGAGAAGGTACTGCCACCAAAAAATGAAAATCCTCTCTAGTAGATTTAGGTGCCTACATAAACTGAAGGGCGAAAGGAAGGAGTTTACCACCTAATCCACCATAGATCAGCATTTGGTATCATGTAGCAGCACAGAAAGTCAAAGCAGCAGTCATTTTGTTTGGGGTTCCTAGTGCCAGTTTCCTTAATGAGGAGGAGAGAAGCTCTTAGAAAGTAGGATGGAATTGAAACTTGATAGAGTCTGTCGTAAACGACAATCTTTATACTATGAATCTTGAAAACATGGGGTAAAATGGATTAGAATAAAATATTAGTCAATAAAGAGAATATGAATCAAGGCCTTTTCTAGAACTGATGAGTGTGAAGTTTTCATTCTGCTTGTGCAATTTGTTTGAACCCTTAGAGCAGACTTCCCCAAATGTGAGTCACTTGTCTGTCACATGTATGATTTGACCATATCAAAGGGCTACTTGTGCAAATTTATTTTTGAAATCTTAAGTAAATTTATTTTAAAGAGAAACTAATGAAAAAAATGGAAGCTTTTCGCTTCTAATCTGCATTTAAGTAAATGCATCTGTTCATATGTGTACCATCTAAAATGATCCTGCAGGGACTTCACTGGTGGTCCAGTAGCTAAAAGTCCAGGGGACTTGCAGGGGGCCTAGGTTCCATCCCTGGTCAGGGAACTAGATCCAATATACTGCAGCTAAGACCCAGCACAGCCAAATAAGTAAATTAAATAAATATTTTAAAAATAATAAAATGATCCTGATACCATTAGTGGCATGTTGACTATGGTATACTGGTAAACTGGTTCTCACGAAAAAGAAGCCTTGATTTGTAGCGTTTGTTGATTTCTGTGGTTTAAATACTTCCACCTTGATTGATTTCAAGCTAGCGATGGGTTAATAATCATGCTTGCAAAATTCATGAATATTTAGCAATTGACTCTTGTAAGCCAGGACAAGCTAGGTCTAGCATAGCACTGTGGGTATACTACATCTTAGAAAGCACTGTATTAGAGAGATCTGTTCAAAATTCAAGTCAGTTTTATTTATTTCAGCCTTTGACATGGTTCATGATCCAGTGGCAGCTCTAGAGACCCTCTTAACTTTGGGATTTGAACGAGTATTAACCAGTGGATGTGACAGTTCAGCCCTAGAAGGACTACCCCTAATAAAGCGACTCATAGATCAGGTACATATGATTTCTTTCCTCTTCCTAAGAGTCTGTTGTGGTTACTTCTGATATTCTGTTGTTCGGAGAGGTTGTGAAACTACATATTAACTAACTTTGTGGGTTACTCTGTAGTAAGCAAGCAGTAACATATAACTTTTATTTCTTTCACACAGATTTTCAGTAACCAAGGCTCTTAACATCAAATTATAGACAGTGATTAAATAGCTGATCTACTTTGGATAACCGCAGCAAATTTTACCTTTATGCTGCCATCAGCATTGCATAGTTTAAGCTTGTTACTGTTGATCTGTGTATACTCAGGGGTTCCTGCATGAAATTTGAGAAAATTATCATTTGATGGTGAATTCTAAAACTAAAACTAGGACTTCCTTGGTAGTCCATTGGTTAAGACTCCACACTAATACTGCAGGGGGCATGGGTTCCATCCCTGGTCAGGGAACTAAGATCCTCTATGCCACAGAGTGCAGCCAAAAAGAAAAATTCTAAAACTGTTCTTCTCTCATCTTTCCCCAACTATCAAGATAGGAGGAAATATGTTTACCTCTTATGTGATTTCCTCTTGTGAGTTCGCATCATTTGTAGAACAGTCAGAAGATGGCTTTGTAATTGTATTAATAGTATGTCTGTTTTCTCACACCAGTCCAGAGACATCTAAATGAGTGAACATGGACTTGAGATGAGAATGTTCTGGATTTGAGAGAGGTTTGACATTTGCTGTGTAATTTTGAGTAGGTTACTAGCATTTAAACCACTGTTGCCTCGTGTGTGAAATCGAGATAATTTTAATATCTTCTTTATAGGGTTGCTCTGAGGATTTATAGAGATAAGGTAGAATTGGTAGAGTTAAGACTTAATATGAAAGATAAGAAATGCTATTGGTAAGAGCCTTGGTTTCCATGGTGACTCATCTGGTAAAGAGTCTGTCTGCAATGTGAGAGACCCAGATTCGATCCCTGGGTGGGGACGATTCCTTGGAGAAGGAAATGGCAACAGACTCCAGTATTCTTGCCTGGGTAATTCCATGGACAGATAAGCCTGGTGGGCTACAGTCCATGTGGTCACAAAGAGTCAGACATGACTCAGCGACTAACACTTTCACTTTTACTTTCAAGAAATAATGTGAAAGATAAGAAATGCTCTTGGTAAGAGCCTTAGCAGAGTGCTTGATTTATGACACATGTTAGTGTTTGTAATTATTATTTGTGGTTGTTGTTCAGTTGCGAAGTCACATCCAACTCTTTGTGACCCCAGGGACAGCAGTACACCAGGCTCCCGTGTCCTTCACTATCTCCTGGAATTTGCTCAAATTCATGTCCATTGAATTGGTAATTCTATCTAACTATCTCGTCTTCTGCCCCCTTCTCCTTTTGTCTTTTCCCAGTATCAGGGTCTTTTCCAATGAGTTGTCTCTTCGGATCAGGTGGCCAAAATATTGGAACTTCAGCATCAGTTCTTCCGAGCTTTCAGTGAATATTCAGGGTTGAGTTCCTTTAGTACTGACTGGTTGACTTCCTTGTAGTCCAAGGGACTATTATTATTGCTGCTATTATTAGTAATAATATTTAGTGTTTTTGTGTAGACATCTGCTAATGTTTACTTTTCTATAGTCATGAAAATAATTTTTAGAAATTTCACATGAGAATCAGATAAACTTTTCTAGGCAGCTTACTGGCTTTATAAAATTTATTAAGTATATATTAAGGTGCAAGGGGTCTTCCCAGGTGGCACTAGTGGTAAAGAACCTGCCTGCCAATGCTGGAGACAGAATGAGATGAGGGTTTGGTCCCTGGGTTGGGAAGATCCCCTGGAGGAGGGCATGGCAACCCACTCCAGTGTTCTTGCCTGGAGAATCCTTTGGACAGAGGAGCCTGGCAGACTACAGTCCATAGGGTCACAATGAATTGGACATGACTGAAGCAACTTAGCACACATGCTAGGTGCAAGGCATTTGCAGCCAACTCATTGGAAAAGACCCTGATGCTGGGAAAGATTGGCAGCAAAAGGAGAAGGGGACCATAGAGGATAAGATAGATAGCTTCACCAACTCAATGGACATGAACCTGAGCAAACTCCGGGAGTTAGTGGTAGACAGAGGAGCCTGGCCTGCTGCAGTCCAAGGGGTCGAAAACAGTCAGACACAACTTATGGACTGAACAACAGGGCATTTGTACTGCTGGTGACCAGGGGGCGTGTGTGTGTGTGTTTGTAGTCACTAGCCTTGCAAACTAGTGCACAACAGGCACTTCTAATAGAGTGCTATATTTTTAAAAAAAGTACTGTAGGAGCACACTGAAGAGGAATTAACCCCAGATTTGAGGGGTTGGGATTCGCAGCAGTTAGCTTCCCAGAAGAAGAAACATCCACACTGTAGTGTCTTTTTTTATTGGACATGCTGGATCTTTGTTGCTTCAAAGACTTTGCTCTAGTTGAGGAGAAAGGGAGCTATTCTCTTGTTCCTGTGCTCGGGCTTCTCACTGCAGTGGTTTTTCTTGTTATGAAACAGAGGCTCCAGAGTGCTTGGGCTTCAGTAGTTGCAGCCCCTGGGCTCCAGTGAGCATAGGCTCTATATTTGTGGCACGTGGACTTAGTTGCTCTGCAGCATGTGGGATCTTCTGAGATCAGGGATCGAATCCATGTCTCCTGCCTTGACAGGTGGATTCTGTACCACTAAGCCATGAGGGAAGCCCCACACTGCAATGTCTTACTCATTTAAAGGGTAATTCGTAGCCATCAGTCTAAACTGGATTGGGGAGAGGGGAAGTCAGGGGGATGATCCTTGTAGACAGAATAGTATATGCAAAGGCCTGGAAACAAAAGTGAGCATAACTTATTAAGATATTAAAGAATGACTATAAAGTTGAATGTGAAGAGAAGAATACTGTCCAGAGCCTTTTAAACTATTCAAGAGTTTGCATTTTATCCTTGGTTCACTGGGGAAGCCTGAAGGGTTTTGAAATAGAAGAACTGATGAATCAGGTTTCCATTTTTTAATGGTTACTCAGAATGGAATAGAGAATAATTGTCATAGTCATATGTTGCATGTCAAAATGTTGTGTGTGAGAGAGAGAGAGACAGATTTGTAGTTTAGTCGGTTGGCAGGAAGAGCTAAGTTAAATATTCTTATACACTAAATTTACTTTTTTTAAGTAAAAATTATATGTATTTAAGATGTACAATGTGATATTTTGATTTTCATTCTGTATATGTACAGAGTAATACATATTCTGTATATGTAAATCAAAACATCACATTGTACACCTTAAATACATATAATTTTTACTTTAAAAAGTAAATTTAGTGTATAAGAATATTTAACACAGCTATGTACCACATGATATTTTGATTTACATATACAGAATGAAGGGGCTTCCCTGGTGGCTCAGTGGTAAAGAATCCACCAACCAATGCAAGAGATGATAGTTTGATCCCTGAGTCGGGAAGATCCCCTGGAGGAGGAAATGGCAACCCACTCCAGTATTCTTGCCTGAGCAATTCCATGGATGGAAGACCCTAGCGGACTACAGTCCATGGAGACACAAAGAGTTGGACACTACTGAGCATGCAGGCATACAGAATGAAATGGTTCCAGTCAAGCTCATATTCAACTGCTCATATAGCACACTTGTGTGGTATGTGTGTGTGCATTCGTGTCTGGTGAAAGTACCTGACATCTACTCTCTTAGCACATTTTTAGTATTTGGTCATTATTCATTTGATCTCTAGACTTAATTCATCCTGTGTAGCAACTTTGTACCCTTTTACCAACATCTTCCCATTTCCATCACCTCACCACCCCTGGTAACCACCATTCTGTTCTCTGCTTCTTGTATTTTACTTTTCTAGATTGCACATATAAGTAAGAGCATACTAATTTTACTTTTTTGTTTTTTCAGTTTTCACTCTGCTGGGTGCTGAGAGGATTTTGTCTAGTTGGGGCAAGTAGAGGCTACTCTGTAGTTGTGGGGTGTGGGCTTCTCATTGCAATGGCTTCCTTTGTTGCAGAACACGGACTTTAGGGTGCATAGGCTTCAGTAGTTGCAGTGTGTGGGCTTCGGTTGTTGAGGTTCCTGGGCTCTAGAGCACAGGCTCAGTAGTTGTGACTCGCAGGCTTAGTTGCTCTGCAGCATATCGGATCTTCCCGGACCAGGGATCTAACCTGTGTCTCCTGCATCGGCAGGCAGATTCTTCACTACTGAGCCATCAGGGGAGCCCAGCTTTACTTTCTGAAGCCATTTTGTGTCTGTGTAATATGCTGGTTAAAGCATAGAATTTGGGATTAGAAAGGTTTATGTTTAAATCCTAGTTTTGCTGTTTATTGGGCAAAAACAATAGACTTGGGCAGTTCACCTAACCATCCTAAACTTGCTGTTTATTAACAGTGACCTTGGGGAGTTTACCTAACCATCCTAAACTTGTTTCTTTACCTACAAAGTTGCATAATGAGTGCCAGTTGGCATAGTAAAAGTGCCTACCTCCTAGAATAGTTGTGGATTACTTCAGCATACATCTGACACATAGTATGTGCTCTATATTGGCAAGTCACTTTGATAGCCCAAAATAAGCATATAGTTCTAAATAATGTTTTATGAAAGGCCCCCCAAAAAGCAATAGGATTCATCTCTTCAAACATTTGTCCATATTTTGGAAAGCTTTCAGTTGGAAGAAACAGTTACAGTAAATATGACTTTTTTTTACTCCTAAACTCATTTCAGCTTTCTAGGTAGTAAATACTTAGTTTTTTGGGTATTTTGCTTTAGTACATTTGATGATACTAAACAGCCTTGTTTCACTTATTTCTCCAACAATTATTAAATTTTATGAAATAGCCTCCTCTCCCTTTTATTCTCTATTTCTTTGCTTAATTTTTTTTCATTGTATGTTTAAGTATTTAGATTTTATAAATATACCTACCTGTTGTCTGTTTTTGTTGAACATGAACACCCCATGAGAGTAGGAACTTACTCTTGCTCATCATGTCAGGGAGGAAAAACTTTTTCTTTACCCTCTTTTTTAAAAAAAGTGAACATATAGGTTCGGTTTTTGAGATTCAACAAATAAACTAACAAAAGATAGATAAGCCAGAAAAAAAGATTGTGATCACATGTGTATGTATATTTGGGCATTCACAAAGAAATGTAACTCAAAGAGGTGCTTAAAATTTAGGGCTTATAAACCATCTTAGTAGATGAAGAGGAGGGGATAGAGGGCACTTAGGGACTCAGAAGTGAAAGGAGAAAGTGCATTTATGGAAAAACAAATGACTTTTTGGAAAGATAATTGGATCCTTAGAAGAACATATGGGAGACAGGATGGTTTTTTGATAGTGTCTGTTTGGCTGTGGTGCTGATGAGTTGCTCCCAGTGGGCGAATTTATGACAGTGGAGGTTTGTTGTTTTTTTTTTTCCTCAGTTCTTTTGGGAGGCTCTGCTTTTAGGTAAGAGATTCGAGCCTTCAGCTCAAAATCATTTTTATACCACAGAGGCATGTTTTGGACCCCTTGAATCACAGTAGTCCCCATACCTACAACAGTGTCTGGTACTTCGTAGGCACTTAAATATATTTGTTGGATGGATGGAGGAGTGAATCAAGTTCCGTTCAGTTCAGTTCAGTTGCTCAGTTGTGTGCGACTCTTTGCAACCCCATGAACTGCAGCATGCCAGGCCTCCCTGTCCATCACCAACTCCCGGATTCCACCCAAACCCATGTCTATTGAGTCAGTGATGCCATCCAACCATCTCATCTGTCATCCCCTTCTCCTGCCCTCAATCTTTGCCAGCATCAGGGTCTTTTCAGATCAATCAGCTCTTCGCATCAGGTGGCCAAAGTATTGGAGTTTCAGCTTCAACATCAGTCCTTCCAAAGAACACCCAGGACTCATCTCCTTTAGGATGGACTGGTTGGATCTCCTTGCAGTCCAAGGGACTCTCAAGAGTCTTCTCCAACACCACAGTTCAAAAGCATCAATTCTTC